CTCCACAGCCCGGGCTTGCCAAAACCTGCGACCCAAATGTTGACCCCTGGCCCAGGTGGCTAAGACTGCCCTCTTCTGGCCCATGTTCCATGCCCCAAGGGACTGGGAGATGTTTGCTGCCTTTTCATTCACTCAACAGACATTTATAGAATATTGTTGAGGCATCAAGCCTCAAGTAGGCACTGGTGACACAGCAAGAGTCCCCAACCTCATGGAGCTGACAGTATAGTGAGGAACAGTCCCCTATCTGGTTTTGTCTAGGAGAGGGCTGGCCCCAGTGAGTAACATGTGAAAATGTATTCTAAACTTTGTTCTTTCAGGACAGGAGGACATAGAAGACGGGCCAGGAATGAATGAGGGAACCTGAAATATGTGTGTGGACAGGCCACTGAGCTCACATCTGATGGGCTGTCCCCTGTGCCTGGAGAAGAGGTGGCTGAAGCTGACTGAGCAGCCCCAGAGGGCAGAGCTGAGATCCATGAGGGGAGTCTAGACAAGGCAGGCTGAACTGAGGGGGGCCACATTTGGGCATGGAACCCACTGACAGCTCACACCCAGCCATGATAGAATGCCTCCCTCACTGGCTACTCCTGTCCACAGCCTTTAGGGGTCATCTTAGATGAGTGTAAGGAACTCTGAGAAGCCCTTCCTGTCCATGTTTACCCACCCGGCCCCCAGCTGGGGAAAGAGCATTCCTGTGCTCCCACAGCTCTTGGGACAGGTCCTGGCTCCATGCCTTTCCACACTGCATTAAAATAGGTTTCTTTTCAGGTTTGTTTCCCACAACCCGAGGAATTCCATGGGGGCAAAGACTGTAGCTCCTGTTTCTCTTCCACCTGTCCAATGCCAGCACAGAATAGGTGCTTGGTAAATGCTTGATCAATTCTTGAAATACACTGCTGGCACGTAGCAGAGCTAATATATACGTGCCGAGTTGACACAGAGGAGATGGCAGTCAAACCCCCTCTCCCCCACAGTAATCAGATGTTAGGGCGGAAGCTGGAGACTAAAGAAGGTATTTTTAACCACTTGAGAAACACTTGGCTCCTGGGCCCCTCAGGAGTGGCAGGTGCCTGTCCACAGACCTACCTGAAAGATGACTCAGCTGGTTCCTTCTTCATGACCTGTAGCAGACGAGTTAATAAGCCCCTCTTCCCATCACACACCAAACTCCTGAAACAAAAGAGAGACACTGGTGGCAGATCTGAGAGGCTGAGAGGGGCCAAATTCCACTTAGTCAAGGACTGTTGTCTTGGGGCCCTTAGGCTGGGTCTCTGCTGGCTTGATGGGGGAGGGAAACATGGGGACACTTCCAGGCTTCCGGGATGCCCTCCTGCTCTACCTGGGTCCAGAATATCCCAGGACTCTTGCAGTCTTAGAACTGAATAGCCAAGTGCATTCACACCATATCTCAGGCCAGCTTTCCATTCTCAGACCCACTGGCAAGTGATTAGAGGCCAGAAACACATCGAGTCAGACAGGGCTCAGACCTGCTGGAGGGAGCGTTGCTTACACCTAAAGTGGGTTAGGAACAGGCATGACAGAGTCTACCAGATGGGGCAACATCTGTGCCAATGGGGTGAGGCAGGGAGTACCCTGGGGCCCCAGTTTAGCTCCAGTTGGCCTTGGACAAGTGCCCATGTCTCTGGACCTCAGCTTCCTGGTCTAGGAAGCAAAGGCAGCTGATGAGGAAATGACTCAGGACATGTCACTGGGGAGAGAGGGACAAGCAGGCAGGGGTTCTGGGCCCTCCAACTTTTTCTTCAAATAAAGCAGCTCTACTTTTATCCACTATAGACATTAGGGTGAGACTATGTACGATTTTATTTGAACAAGTTCTGCTGCCTTAAAAAGAAAAAAGAAAAAAAAAGCTGGGGAATCATGACTCTCGTTGATGGGTATAGTCATCCCTGCCTTGACCCCCGTGAGCCTGTGACTTCCTCGCCTAGTTTCAGAAGATGAGGGAAGCATAACCCAGCAAATGGGACTTTGGAGAGGGTAAGGGGGCCTGTTTGTACTGCTTGGCTCCAACTGCTACCATGCAAGAAAGGATATCAGCAGAAGTGAGAGACAAGGGGAGGGGGCAGAGCACATATGACCTTTGGCAGGTGACCTCTCCAAGCCCCGGTCCCCCTCTGAAAAGTGGAGGTGATGATGGCACTTCCCTCCCAGGGCTGCTCCAAAGAGATAATGCAGGTGATGTAAGGACAGTGCCTCACACATAGGTGCCCTTGGGACACTGTAGCTACACATGAGTGATAGAGGATAGGTAAGCACACCCGGGGCACACAGGCAGCCAGGACAGGCTGTGGGCAAAGCTGCACCCTGTCCGTGCTCACCTGTCGGTGTTAAGGACAGCTTCCACCTCAGGGATGTTGGCCTTGAGAGATATGGCACTGAGTTCATTCAGTTCCTGGTTGTTGAGCAGCAGGTACTTGTTCCTGAAACAAATGGGTCGGAGGGGGCTAAGGACAGGAGCAGGGATCATCCCCTGCCCATTTCCTGTGGAGGGGGAGAATCTGAGGCTCCCTCAAGTATGTCCCCCAACACCTCGTACCCGAGCCAGCATTCTAGGGTTCCTGCCAGCCTCTGTGAATAGCCAGACTGTCAGCTCCTGGTTCAGAGGGACAAACGGCAAAGGGATGTGTCAATGCCAAGGGTACTAAGGGGCCAACGACTTGTGTACTCACTTCCCAGGGTGACTGTGAGGGCAAGAGAAAGCTCAGTGTGGTGCCTGGCATAAAGGAAGGGCTGGACAAATGACAGCTCTTTATTACAGTATCATGGAAGTGCAGCCACATGTGGTTTACACTGAGGTGACAACAGCTCCCATGGCTCCCAGGTCTTCCTCTTGAGCTGAGGTCAGTGATGGGACAGAGAGTAGAGAGAAGACGGCGCAACAACTTTACTTCTAAGAACAGCTTGTACTTACTCGTGGTGGTCGCTGAAACTCTGGAGAAGCCTCAAAAACTGTATCTTCAAGGTGATGTCCTAAAATATACAAGCACCCTGGATGTTAGACCATAGTCACAACGTTCCAAAAGAAAACAAACACTCTGGTGAGAGCCTGGGCATGTCGCTTAGCTTCTGAGCCTCGGTCCTCATTTAAAATGAGGACTTTCCTTTAATCAAAAAATCTAGTGTTGACGTCCCCCTCTGACCAACAGTAGTTTAAGTTAATGTGGGCTCTTCCTGCTAAAAACACCCCAAAAGACTAGACTAGAAAGTAACTGAAATTCTTTTAAATGGGAGGCTAAGTTCATAAGAAAGGAAGGAAAACCCATAGGAATCAGAAAAAGACAGACTGAGTTCAGAGCAGTGGGCACAAGCACTGATGGTTGGCAGCTCTGGACAGGATAAAGTAGAAATAAGACTTATTCAGGACAGGGCATGGGTTTTAATGTCCTTCAGGGGCCACAGAACTGTAGGCCTGTGTAAAGCCCTGGGGAGTGTATACATTTGTTGAAAGAAGGGTTAGAAAAACCCACCAGCCAGCCTAGAAAGCTGGCGAAGAAGCCCGTCTCTGCCAAGGTGCTGCTGGTAGTAGACAAGGGCCCCCAGGAGAAGGACCCTGGGCTCATACTCCCAGAGCAGTAGGGCCAAGACACGCAACATGAAAACCTGCCCTGGGACACTATGCCTCGCAAAGTACCTGGCTGACAAAAGCAAAGTGCTCTGTAGAAATACTTCCAGGACCCAGGATACATAGGTATTCGGAGGGAAAATAACCCCCTAAAGGTGATGTCTCCATAAACGTTACAGAACTCGTGGCAATACTCTACCCTGAGTTGAGTCTGAAGACTCAAACGTAAGTATTAGTACCCCATGAGCAATCAGAAAGAGACCACAATAAAGTATGTTACAAATAAAGAAAATGCAGAACAAAACATTAACATAATGAATAAAGACTAAGTAGTTTTTGACAAGGAGCGGGACAGAATGTCTAGAAATGCAGAATATATTCACTTGAAATTAAAACCTCAAATGGATGGGCTGAAAGGCAAATCTGACAAGGCCAAAATGAAAAATAGTAAATTGGAAGATAAGGCACTGAGGAAAATCCCCACAATGTAGCGCAGAGACCAGGGTGGACCCATGGCACTAGACCCTGACAGATGTGTGGCATTTTAAAGTCCCTGAGCACTTTCTCCCTGATGCTGGTGGCCGAGCCTTCTGCATGAGGCCAGCAGGTAAGGAACTATAATCTTTTTGCAAGAAACAGAGCTCAGAGATTCAGTGACTCATTCAAGCTCTTCCAACAAGCTGATCAGCACAATAGGCCTCATGACTTCCAGTCTGTTGCTCTAACACACAGTGACAGAGAAGGTAGAGGTAAGCCCTTGACCCCTTAAAAAAAGAAAGCATCCTAAAGCCCCTTCTGGATGCAGACCATTGGTGTTGCATGGTTCTTGAAGGCAAAATTACCAGTAGATATAATTACAGTGTGATAGAGCACAGAAAACCTTACTGCTAGGTAACAGAGTGGGTGGGTCACCTGGAGGGAAGTGAGGCCCATCCCTGAGGCATACAAGGGGAAGCTGGCTGGAGGCCGTCAAGAGGGATGTCTGCATAGGTAGAGGGATGGGGTCACATCTTTCCCCAAAGTAGCTTCCAGTTATGGGATGATACAGGCTATGACTTTCAGTTTCTGCTCTGCTCTCAAAGAATGCGATTTCAGAGTCAAGAGTAGGTCTTGAAACAACTATTCCTGGCAAATAAAGCCCATCTGTCCCAGAGGTACCTTGCTTACCGGGCTACAGTCACAGTTCTGGTTGTGACCATGGAGGACAAGGGCAGATGCTGAATGCTTCCTCCAAATCAGCTTGTCAAACAAATTATTAAGCCCAGGGATTAGCTTGAACTCTGCAATCATTCTGTGAACCTAGATTGGGTAGGAAGGAAAACACAGTAAAACAAACATGCTGCAAAGATCAAGCCTCATGCTGAGCACATACAATAACAACCTTCAGGACAAAGAAAGCCAACAGTCAGCACGGGGTGTTGAGGCTTACAGAAAACACCCACAACAGACCCTATTCTGCCCCCACGAGACACAAATATACTTTTTAACTCTGTTCATAAATACTCACAATCCCAGGAGTCATACGGAACAGCAGGTCCTCTTTTAAGACCATGACTTTTGTATTTAGACATCCCTGGTTTTGACTCTTAGTTCCACCACTTACAAACTGTGTAACTCTAAGCAGGTTCCTTAACCTTTCTAATTTGTTTCTTTCCTCTGCATATCATTAAAGTAAAAATACTCCTCGTGCTTCAAAGTAGGATAAATTTCAATTGGAAGCAAGATAAAAATATAATAAAACGAAACTCTAAAGATCCTAGAAGAATCTATGCAAAGGTTTTTTTCTTTTTAAATAATCAGAGAGAGAAAGACTTTCTAAAGAATTATACCAAATATAAAAGCCAAGAGAAGACTGTTGATTTCAACCACATAAATGTTTTAAAATTCTGCATGGCAAAACTCACAATAAGCAAAGTCACAAGTCAGATATGACAATAGGAGACCATATTAACGATTTTGTGTTACATGCCAGCAAAAAGCTAATTTCCAACCCTACAGAAAAAATGGGCAAAGAATATAGACAGGACATAGACAAGATACAGACAGGAAAATATAAAAGGTTCTTCTATATATGCAAAGTGCTCAGTCTCACCTGTAATATTAATTCTAGGTGTAGCTAATCCAGGTGCCAATTCTAAGGGACACCTCAAACTTAACTTGTTCAAACTGAACTCCTTATCTTCTTCCTTACGCAGTCTTAACAATCTTAGTAAATGGCAAATCCATCCTCCCACCTTCTTAGGCCAAAAAACCTTGGAAGGAGTTAAGGAAGTCATCTACAACTTCTCTCTTATGCCTACATCCAAACTATCAGCAAATCCTACCTGTAATACCTTCAAAACAGATCCAGAATGCAAGCACTTGTCACCACTCCCACCACCAACATGCAGGTCCTAGCTACTGCCAGCTCTTACACACATCAGACAGAGTGATGACTTCGCATTTCACTCAGAGTAAACACCAAAGTCCTTAAAATGGCCTATTAAAGCCCAATGCAATCTGGCCTCCTGTGACTCCTTATCTCTTCTCTCCTTGCTGCTTATTCTAATCCATCCCTCATTTCCTTACTGGTCCCCCAACCCACCAGGCATGCTCCCACCTCAGGGGCTTGCTCCCTCTACCTGGTAGTCTGCCTCAGGGGTTGGCCTGCCTGGCTCTCTCACTTTCTTCAGGACACTGTCATGCCAGATATCATCTTCTCAGTGAGTCTCTCCCCTGGCTACTCCTTTCAAAATTCATCCCCACTTGTAAAATGGGGATAATCTCTCCAATCTCACAGAGCTTGTGATAGTCCAGTGTCTGACTCAAAAAGGTATGTAAGGACTATTGAGCTCCCAGCCTCCCCTCTCCTTAACCCACCCCTCCCCTGTGCCTAGTATCATCCTAGCTAGCAGGAGAGGATTACTTCTCTATCTTGAAGAAGAGTGCTGCATACTTTCAGAGCCCGCTTTCTCCTTTTTAAGGTTATGGGCCCTTGCTTCTCCTTCCTGGAACTGCTTCGAGGCTCAGGGAATCCCGGAATATCTGGAGACCTCCTATAGCTGCCTAGTCTTCATAACCTGACATTGCTCTGAGCTCTGGCCCTCCGCCTTGAGTCCCCATCACACTGGCAACTCCTCCAGTGCGTCACAGGACAGTCATCTCACCAGTCCCTGATCCTTTATTCTCCACAGTAACAAGGTCAGAGAACATGGCTAAGCTACCCACTCCTGCGTTGGCACCAATGCTTTTGCCTAGAAATGCTGCCCACAGAAAAGTACAGTGGAAAGACTGTGAGCTCTGGAATCAGACTGGTTTCCTTATGTGCAAAACAGAGAAAAGGAAAACCACCCTGAGGCTTTGCTGGGCTAGACAGCCATTCTAAGAGGCGGCCTAGTGGTGTACTCAGCACACCACAAGCATCCAGAAAGCATCTGCTCCTGAACAAACCTGTTCTGAGATGTGGGGGAGAGGCCCACCTGGTTTCGCTGACGGCCCATCAGCAGGACACAGAGGACATAGAGCACTTCCAGTTTGTACATGATCTCATGCATAATCTTCATTGACTGAGGCAGTTGGGTCCTAGTTGAAGTGTGAGGCAGGCCATTCTCCTCGGAAGCCCCTGGAGGAGGGAACACAATGGAGGCTGGGATAGCCACCAGGAGAGAGCACTGAGTCACAGATTATGAGGAAACATGTTTCTGTCCTTCAAACCTGTTCTGAACAGACCTGAGGTAAAAGAGCCGTTAGACTGGGCCCTGAGCCCATGAAAGAGACTTTGAAAGCCACAAAACTCCCTCTAGGCTCCAGGGGCCAGGCAAGCTGAGAAACTAAGAAAAATTGACTGCAGTTCTATCTCATCAACTTTAATATACACTAAAAATATTCTGACACAGCCAGTGCAGTAACATGATCCATTCTCTCCCCTCATGTTCCTCTCTCCTGCCACCAGTGCCCCCAAAGTGGCCAGATACAAATGTCTAGTAGCAAATTCTGTCAAACTCTTCAGGTCACAGATGACTCAGCATACTTGGTCTTTCTGCCTAGCTTCCACGAGGGGGCACTACTCAAAGACTGGGAGGAATCCTTTTTGGAAGATTCCACCCCCCCAGTTTTTCGAAGAACTATCTATCTAAAGTTTTCCGAGGTTCAACTTGATAAGGCAGATTGGGCATCACAACTGCTACTAGTGATACGGATGAACATATTCTCTACTAGAAGATTTTCATTTTACCCAATTTCATTATTAGTAACTAGTAGCAGCTAAGTAATATTTATGGGAAACTTGTTATGTATCAGGCATTGTGTTTTGGGCTGTAGATAAACCACCTCATTTATTCTATTACCGAGTTAACAAAATGTCTCCATGGGTGATGCAGGCCACATAGGAGCATAGTCTTGGGAAGGTAGTAAAGCAAAGTGATGAAGACTGAGGGCTCTGGAATTACAACTTGCTGGCTGTGTGACAATGGGCAAGTCACCTCCTCCCTAGGCTTTAGACTGTTCTATAACCTGGGAATGAAAGCAGTGCCACGGTGAATGGCCAGGGTTACTGTGAGGAGCGAATGAGAACATAAGAAAAGCTCAGCACCTGATTCTTGGAAAGCCTCACTTGGAGGTCCCTGTTATTTTAAAAGGTCACTGGCTGGAGTCAAGAATTCTTAGAAGTTACTTCTCCTCAGTTTTCCTCATTTTTAAGATGAAAGGACAAGGTCAAGCTCCTACTGGAATTGCTGCCCTAGAGGCTGTTTACAAAGGCCAGAAAAACTCATGGTACAGAACAGTGGTTATCAGATATATTTAAATAAAGTGCATACAGAAGTTATGGTGATTTCTGCACGCTGATATGACGTTAAAAACCTAACTTACTCAGCCCTACAGACTGGAACTATTTTTTCCAGCTATATTATGTCATTAATATAAAATCACAACTCTGGAAGAAGACCACCTGCTGAATGAAGGATGACTGTGAAGCAGTGGTAGAGTTGTTAGGAGCACTGACTCTGGGGCCAGATTTCTGGATCTGAATCTGAGCTCTACCATTCAATCGCTGAGTGGCAATAGTACTCATCTCTTACCAATGCTGCAAAAGTTAAAGGACTTAATATATTGGAAGTGCTTCAAGCAATGCCTGGCACATGTAAGCAACATGTTATGTTAAATAGAAGTAAAAAACTAACACTGAGGTTTTCTGCTAGTGCTTGCTTGCTATTCTTTTTTTTTCTTTTTAATCTGCAAGCTCTTAATGGCAACTAAAGTGGCGATGGGCAAAGACTTAAGAAAAATTTACTGGAGAAACTTAATTGAGAAAATTCTATCTATTCACATATATTTTCCTTCAGGTTGGGAGAAAAACCATAATTACTCAATTTCAATGTTGGGACTTCTTGGTGCTGATTCCAGAACAGTTTTAAGAGTCAACGGAATTGTGGAGAGACTCTGAAGAGCTAGCATGTAGAATCCTGCCTCTGCTGTACACTTGTGGTCTTGAAAGGCTTAGTGTCCTCATTACCTAGAACGAGGGGACTTGGGGGTGGGCAGGATGGCAGGAGAGTATGTTTCTGGAAGGAGTAGGTACAGCATGTGACACACAAGCCCTCTTCAGTAATAAACGTCTGTGGAGAAAGACAGACATGGGCAGCTTGGACTCCTCCCTGAGTCACTGCCTACCTCTGGCGTCTGGTGTGCACAGGTCTGGCAAGAAACGCTCCAGGATAGATATTTTCAAGAAACATAGTCCCTAAAGCAATGACCAGAGTTTAGCAGCAAAGTTAATTCCCAAGGATGAGGATGGGAAAACTAATTTAAGAGGCCTGTACTTCCCTACAAATGTCTTCAGCTCCACCACACTGATTAAAGTGGCAACCATCCTTCCTACGTCTGCAGCACACTCTGGGGACATTCTCTCTATTAAAAAACAGGTTTACCTTATATCTCACATACATACAATTCACCCACTGAAAGTGTACAATTCAGTGGTTTTTAGTATTTCCAGAGTTGTGGCGCCATCAACAAAATTTTAGAGCATTTTCATCACCCCAAAAAAGAAATCCTGTACTCATTAGTAGCTCCTCCCCATTTCTTACCAAACTGCTCAGCCCTAGGCATCTACTAAACTACTTTCCGCCTCCATGGATTTGCCTATTCAGGACATTTTGTATAAATAGAATCATACAATATGTCCTCTTTTGTAGGCTTCTTTCTCTTAGCACAAAGTTTCCAAGGTTTATTTAGGTTATACCGTGTATCAGTATTTCATTTTTTAAACTGATGGATATTTGATTGTATATAATACATTCTGTTGTCCATTCAGCAGTTGATGGACACTTGGTTAGTTTCTATATTTTGGCTATTATAAATCTGTTGCTAGGAACATGCATGTATAAGTTTTTGTTTAACACATTTTCATTCTCTTGGGTATATACCCAGGAACGGAATTCCTGTGTCATATGATAACTCCGTTTAACCTTTTGAGGAACTGCCAGATGGTTTTCCAAAGCAGGAAACGAGGGTTCTAATTTCTCCTTGTCCTTGCCAACACTTGTTATTATGTCTTTTTGATGATAAACATCCTAGTGGGTGTGAATTAGTATCTCACTGTGGTTTGAATCACATTTCTCTGACGGCTAAAGATGTTAAGTATCTTTTCCTGTACTTAGTGGCTATTTGTATGTCTTCTTTGGAGAAACACTTACTTGAATCCTTTGCTCATATTATGAAATGGGTTGTCTTTTTATTACTGAGCAGCAGGAGTTATATATTATAGATTAAAGTCACTCATTAGATAGATGGTTTACAAAAATGTTCTCTTCCACACCACCCCCCAATTTTCTTCTATTCTGTGAGTGCTTTCACTTTCTTGATGGTTTTTTGAAGCACAAAAGTTTTTTGTTTTAATGAAGTTCAAGATATCTATTTTTAATTCGGTTGCTTGTGCTTTAGGTGCCCTCTAAGAAACCACTGCCAAATCCAAAGTCATGAAGTTTTATCCCTATGTTTTCTTCTAAGGGTTTAGCTCTTACATTTAAGTCTTTGATCCTTTCAATTTTTGTATATGTGAAGTAGGAGGTTCCAACTTCATTCTTTTACATGTGAATATCTAACGGTCCCTGCACCAGTTGTAGAAAAGACTATTGTTGCCCCCCAACTGAACGGTCTTAGAACTCCTGCTAAAAATCAATTGGTTGTATTAAGTGAGGGTATATTTCTGAAGTCTCAATTCTTTTTCATTACATGTCTCTCTTCATGTCAGTAGCACACTGTTGATTACTGCTGAAGTGTGTCTTCTGACTGTTCTTTTTCAAGATTGTTTTGACTATTCTTGGACCCTTGTGTTTTCATGTGAATTTTGGGACCAGCTAGTCCATTTTTGCCAAGAAGACAGCTGGGATTCTGACAGAGATTGTGCTGAATCTGTATATCAAGATGGGGAGTATTGCTATCTTAAAAATACAGTCTTTTGATAATGAACATGAGATGTCTTTACATTTACTTAGGTCTTCTTTAATGTTGTTCAATAATAATGTTTTATAATTTTCAGAGTATATGTTTTACATTTATTAAATGTATCCCTAAGTATTTTATCCTTTTTGATGTTCTTATAAATAAAATTTTCATTTCATTTTTGGTTTGTTCATTGCTATTGTATAGAAATACAATTGATTTTTGTATATTGAGCTTATATACTAAACTCTGTTAAACTCATTTATTAGTTTAGCAATATTTTTAAGGAATTCCTTAGGTTTTCCTATATACAAGATCATATCATCTGTAAATACTTTTATTTTTTACTAATCTAGATGACTTTTAATTATTTTTCTTGCCTAACTGCCAAACAGAACCTCCAGTACAATGTTGTGGCAAGAGCAGATATCTTTTTCTTGTTCCTGACCTCAGTGGGGGGAAGGCTTTCAGTCTTTGGCCATTAAGTATAATGTTAGCTGTGGGTTTTTTGTAGATATATTTTAATAGCTTCAGAAAGTTCCCTTCTATTCCTAGTTTGAGGCTTTTTTGTCTTTTCTTTTTTTTTATCATGAAGGGGTATTGCATTTTGTCAAATGCTTTTTCTGCATCTACTGATGTCTTGGTATCAGGGTAATAATGGCTTCACAAAATGAGGTGAGAAGTGTTTTCTCCTCTTCTATTTCACTGAAGAATCTGACATATTGGTGTTAATTCTTCTTTAAACAGTTGGAAGAATTCACCTGTGAAGCCATGTGAGCCAGGGCTTATCTTTGGGAATAGTTTTTTCATTACTAATTCAATTTCTTTATTTGACACAGGTCTATTCGCATTTTCTATTTCTTCTTGAATCAGTTGTAATAGTTTGTGTCTGTCTTATAATTTTTCCATTTCGCCCAGGTTAACTACTTTGTTGGCATATAGTTTATAGTATTCTCTTAGAGTCATTTTTATCTTTGCAAGGTTAGTTGTAATATATGCTCTTTCATTCCTAATTTTAGTGATCTGAATTTTTTTTTTTTCTTGGTCAGTGTAGGTAAAGTTTGTCAATTCTGCTGATCTTTCCAAAGAATCGATTTTGGTTTGGCAGATTTTCTCTATTCTCTAGTTCATTAATTTCCATTCCAATTCTGTTATTTCTTTCCATCTGCTTGCTTTGGGAATACAATTTGTTCTTTTCCCAATGATTTAAGGTAGAAGGTTAGATGATTAATTTGAAATCTTTTTTAATGAAGGCATTTACAGCTATAAATTTCTCTCTATGCATACTTTAGCTGTATGCTATAAATTTGGTATGCTACCTTCATTTTCATTCGTCTCAAATTATCTTCTAATTCCCTTTGTGATTCTGTCTTTGACCAGTTATTTAAAAGTATATTGCTTAATTTCCACATATTTGTGAATTTTGAAAAAAAAAAACTGCTTTCTGCTATTAATTTTTAATACCACTGCATGTGATTGATGTACATACTCTGTACAATTTTAATCCTTTTAACTTTATTGAGGCTTTTTTATGGCCTATATATGGTCTATCTTAGAGACTATTCTATGTGCACTTGAGAAGAATTTATGTTCTGCAGTTATTGGGTAGATGGTTCTATATATAAGTCTAGTTGACTTACAGTGTTGTTCAAGTCTATTTCTTTGATCTTCTGCATAGCTGTTCTATCCATTATTGAAAATGGGATATTAAAGTCTCCAACTATTATTACTGAATTATCTATTTTGCTCTTCAAATCTGTTTTTGCTTTTGTTGTTGTTGTTAGATGAATATATGTTTAGAACTTACATCTTCTTAATCGATTCACTCTTTTACTATTATAAAAAGTCCCTTCTATCTCTGATAATATTTTGTTTGTTTTAAAGTCTCTTTTAGTACAACAACCCAAACTTTCTTATAGTTGCTCTTTGCACGACATATCTTTTTCTATCTTTCACTTTCAACCTAATTCTATCTTTGAATAGAAAGTATGCCTCTTGTAGGCTCTAACTGGATCTTTAAAAAAAAAAAAATCCAATATGACAATCCGTCTGTTGAATGAATTGTTTAATCCATTCACATTTAATGTTATTATTGACGAAGTTGGATTTACTTCTGCCCTTTTACTTTCTGTTTTCTATATATTTCATGTTTTTTATTCCTTTATTTGTACTTTAATGTTTTTGCAGTAAGCAGTATGTGGGCTCTCTCACAGGCCACTTCTGTTGCCTACTTTCTCATGTGTATGGGTCATACTTTCCTGTGTCTTTGCATGCCTCATAATTTTTGTTAGAAATAAGACGTTTTAGATAAAGGGATTGCTGTTGTTTTCTTGTTTATTTGTTTAGTGACTTGGCTAGCCTAGTTCAGTAAATTCTATTTCTCCAAGAACTAGCGAGGCCTTGGTGCTGCACCTCTGAGAGACCAAACTTGGGCATGTGCAGTCTCCCCAGGTGAAAGTGTTTTTGCAGGACTCTCTTTGGCTCTTTTCTGATCCTTCTGTTAAGCTTTCTGCCTCATCTGGTATGAAACTCAGCTGTCAGGATCTCTTAATTGATGGCTGAATGCTCTAAGGTTTTTGACAATGCCTTGAGGCATACATTGCTCCAAAGTCTGATTCAATTAAATACAAGCAGGTATTTTTTGAGACTAAGGTTTTGAGCTCAGAAGAACTCTCTTCTTAGCTATCTCTTTAGCTGTCTGTTTCTCACTGGCGAGGTAACAGGCATACAGTTTGGCTTTTTTGTTCTCAATTAACAAGAGCTAACAGCCTCCTATTATTTGCTTACAAGGAATATCTACATTGTTTTTGAGAATGCCCTTAGGCTCAAACTTTCCCACATTCTATTCTTACCTATTACCTCTCCCTCTGGCCAAATATTACCTGCTACTACTCTGAGTGGAGCTGGTAGCTTCTAGTCTTCTCAGTTTGCTTCTCCCTGTGTGGAACTCTATCCTAGTGAGCTGATCAAGGGTAATAAAGACCACAGAATTCTTGATCTGTTGGGCCTGGGGTAGAGTTTCCATACTATGAGTGTAGAATGGAGGTGGGTAGAGGAAAGGAGCCTCTAGCATTACGCTAGAACTGTCAGATAGAGAAATACATATACTGTGTAAGTTCATTTATATGTAGGACCTAAGAAACCCAAACTTGGAGAACAGAGAGTGGAGTAGTGGTTACTAGCGGTTAAGGAAATGGGGAGATACTGGTGAAATGGTACAATCTTCCAGTTATAAGATTAACAAGTTCTGGGGATCCAATGTATAGTACAGTGATTATAGCTAATGATACTGTATCACGTACTTAATACATGTTAAGAGAGTAAATCTTAAATCATCTCACTACAAAAAAAGTGGTAATTATGTGATGGGATAGAAGTATTTATTAGCTAATGCTGTAGTGGTAATCATTTTGCAATATATAAATCTATCAGATCAACACATTGTCCATGTTAAACCTAAAATGTTGTATGTTATTATATGTCAAAAAATTTGAGGGGTGAGGGGAGGAAGAAAGGAGCCCCTGAACTCATGGCCATACTCAGTCAAGAATTTAGCCTCTTCTTAGAGTTGGATGGGATTATAAAGCTGGCAGCCTGTCCCTCCCAGTGAGATATCAAATTCTTTAGGAGCTGAGGTAGCCCTGTCTTTTTGGCCACACTTGCCCAAAGTGGAACTTCCATGAATTATAACTGTTCTGAGTTTTAGTAGACTTTCTTGAAAAAACGTTTCACTTACTGTATACTCATAGAACAATTTCCACAGACTTTACGTGGATGGTTTTTATTGTTGTTTTTTATAGGTTTTGTCTGTAGTTCCACTGGAGAAGCAGGCACACTTCCATTTCAGAAACAGAACTCCTCCCTTCACTTTCATCTGCATGCTTACAGAGAGAATTCCTGGGTTTGCACAACCTGACCCCATTCTGCTAGCCAGAGCCAAATGCTTCAGGGTTGAGCAACTGACCCAAGATGAGCCCTAGTCCTTCACCAGGTAGCTGGAGCTAAGCCTAGGCCCCTATACATTTACTAGGCAACACACTTCTTCAGAAAAAAGACTAAAGAAAGAAGAGATACAGCAAGAACTCTCTGAGTTCCTAAGAATGCTGTGGTTATTGGCTTCAGAAAGGCCTTTAGGTTCTTCAACAAAGCCTTTCTCTCTCTGCAATCAAGTCCGCTTTGAGAGAGTCCAAAGAGGTTTCTATCACTAGCTATCAAAAGAATCTTAACAATTATGATTTAGGACTGCCCTGAGGAAAATTCTACTTTGAGAAAATTTCAATTTATCCTCCTTGGAAAAGAGGTCAAGAATGGCTCAAGGAACCCACGAGAAAGCTCCCCACCTCTCAGGAGACCCACCCCAACTACCTTGACTGTGCTCCGATTCTTCATTAGCCACTCGCATCAGGGCATCTAGCACCAAAGCATTGTCTAGCCACGTGTACCACTCCTCCAATTCTTGAAGGAAGCTGGCTGTGCCCGTTGACTCTGACACCTTTCGAGTTGCTAGCTTGCAAAGTCGCTCAACAAAGCCAGGGATGCTGAGAAGGGCCGCTGCAGAAAAGAGAACAAAAGAAGAAATTTCAAAACAGACAGCATCTCTAGAGCCCTCAACAAACAACCTGCTCTTTACCTGCATGACAGGAATGATTTTTAACCTGAGAGCAGCTAGCTAGTCAGAGCTTCCCTTTAAAATGAAATGCCAAGCTAAAGTAAAATAGTAATAAAACTACAGAAACAAGTTCAATTTTAGCGGGTGCAGGGAAACAGGCTCTCTTATATCTACTGGTGGGAAGATAAACTTTTATGCCTTAAATCTGTGTGTCTTTGAGCCAGGAGGTCCATTTCTGGCAATTTACCATAAGAAAATAACCAATTATACATACAAAGATAGCTATATAAAGATGTTCATTGGTGTGGTTTCCATAATAAAAAAAAGTGGTGATAACTATAGGTTCATTAATAGCATATTGATTAAATATGATATAGCCATACAGTGGAATACAGACACTAAGAATGACATATCTTATTACAGTAATTCCAAAAGATGTTTAAATTTACTTACTAGAGAAAAAGTAAATTATTAAACAGTATTGGTTTAAGCCCATTTTCTTTAAAAAATTTAAACTTTGCTTCTTTAAAATATGCACATAATATACATATCCATACACAAAGAACGGAAAGATATGCACCAAGGTATTTACTGTGGCTGTTCCTGAGTAGGAGAGGATATAAATGCTTATTTTAAAACTACTTATCTACAGTTTAATTTTCCTGTAACAAACAAGTATTAGCAGGAAGGAACGATAAGCCTTTTTTGGGAGGAGGGGTAATTTAGAAACTGACTACCTAACTCCTATTGCCACCAATCCTATTTTACTCGCAATAATAAGATGAAAATTCTGATCAGCATAAGAGAACATAATAAACTTTGAAGGCAGGGAAATCTGGGTTTAAATCCTGGCTCCATCATTAAACCTTCTTTAAAATAAGGCTAACATCTGTACATATTTGCTTGTGTATGCATTAAATCTTCCTGCAAGGACAGAAAACAGCAGTGGTTGCCAAAGGCAAAGAGAATTAGACCAACAGGAATAGAATGGGAGGGAAACTTTGCAATGAACACCTTTTTGAACCTGTAGATTTTTTATGAACCATGTAAATGTATCACCTAATCAAAAATTAATAAGTACTTAAATATCTCATAGTATTAAGGTATTACTATTTTTACTTTAAAAAAATCAAGATGTTACTATAAATTTGGGAGGGTACAATATGGTATTGGAACTATGTTTAAAAGTCATTATTTTGTAAAAATTTGTACAGGTGAAATTTTATGATGTCTGGGATTTGCTTCAGAATCACCCAAAGTGAGGTAGGGAGAAGTGAATAGGGATAAAGACAAGCCACCAGTTGACAATTTTTGAAGCTAGCTAGGTGATGAGTAAATGAGGATTGTTATGCTATTATGTGTGTCATATATATGTCTCTACTTCTATATGTTTCCCATAATGAAAAATTTTAAAGTAAAATTCAAAAGAATACTAAAGAAAATTCTTTAAAAATAAAATAAATTAAAACAAATTAGTTAGGAGTATTATATGAAGTCATATACATTTAGTTCCAGCACAGAGCTAGGCAAATAATCTTAGCTCTTTCCATCCTCTATACATTATTGAGTGACTATAAAATGTTTAACTTCACTCAAAAAAAAGTGAATTAAAACCACAAATTAACTTTCCTTGAAATGTTAAATATAGAATTATCATATGAACCAGAAATTCCACTAAGTATATACCCAAGTGTTCAAATACATATACACACATTTACACCATGACTATTCACAATAGCCTAAAGGTGAAAACACTACAAATGTCTATCAACAAATGGATAAACAAATTGTGGTATATATATATATATACAATGACTATTATTCAGCGATAACTAGGAATGAAATACTGACATGCTACAGCATGGATAAACCTCAAAAACATCATGCTAAGTGAAAGAAGCATCATACATGATACAAAAGGTCACATATTGTATGATTCCATTTATATGAAATATCCAGAATAGGTAATTCTACAGACAGAAAGCAGGTGAATGCTGCCAGGAGTTGGAAAAAATTGAGAAAAACTGTTTAATATGTATGGGGTTTCTTTTTGGAGTGATGAAAATGTCTTGGAACTAGATGGAGGTAGTGGTTGCACAAACTGCAGATGTACTAAATGCCACCTAACTGTTCACTTTAAATGTTTGATTTTGTTATGTGACCTTAACCTCAATAACACACACACCCCACAAGATAGTTTTGGGGTGTTTTTTGGGTTTTTTTTTTTGAGATAATAATTTTTACTTATCAGCTTGACAAATATCAAGAAGTTTTAAAAGGCCATGTACTAGGAAGGATACACAGAGTGGGAAGGTGAACCAGTAATTTCTTTGGAAGTTTAATTTGTCAACATCTATCAAAGTTTAAAGGCCAAATATCCCAAACATCATACTCTATACACAAGGTTGTTCTTTGTAGGAACAAAGACTTGAAACAAATCAAATTTCTATCAATAGAGGACTAGATAAATTGTGGTATGCCCATATATGGGACTACTACATAGCTGTAAAAAAGAATCAGATAATTCCATACATACTGGAATGGAATGCTTTTGCAAGATAAAGTTACGTTAAAAGCCAGGGCAGAATGGTGCCTATTTTACATTACCATCTGTACAAAAAACAGGGAGAAGCCAATCTTTCTCTTCCCCTCATCCACCTCCATGACTGGATATGAGAAAATGGTAATAGGTTACCATGGGGAGGGTTACAAATGTTCTATTATACACCTGCTGTTCTTTTTGTACCTTATGAATTTTAAAAAGAAAAACTTAGGTATTACTTTTTCTCAAGAGTAAATAAATAAAAGAGATTGGATTCTACATGAAAATCTTCAGAAAGCTGGATTTTTACTCTCACACCCCTTTTCTCCAGGGTAAATAGCTCGTTTCTTTAACTGTTCCTCACAAGACAGTTCCTAAGACCTAATCTTCGCACCCTGCATACTTAACACAGCCCTTCAGATGTGACCTGTACAGGATTCTGAGACTCTGACTCCCATCCCAGAGATTCCTGGGCTTTTGTGAGTCACTCATCTCTTGAAAAGCTGATGAAAGTGATAGACTCTCTCTCCTCCCCCCTCAAAAAATCACTGGCCCAATTATACTGACCAACTTATATATAGTCTTAGAGGACTGGCACCTCAGCATCATACAGTCTTTATAATTCTCACAGCCTTATCACACACTGTTGGTCAATGTTAAACTGGCTGACAACTAAAACACCCACTACTTCCAAGAATTTCTGCAAAAGCAGACCTCTTCTCTCCTCTTATTTGTTAAAACATCAATATTTCCAAAATACTGTAAATTTTCCTCTCACAGTTTCCAGCTCTCTGAGATGATTCTGAATTCCATCCTAGCTCATGTGTTGCATAAATCAGCCCCACTCAGCTCAGTGTCACCTATAAACTAATAATTATCTGGCCTGTGGCTTCATCTATATCTCTAAAATCTTGAATGATTTTTTTTCCCTCTCAGATGGAGCGATTTGTTCCAGTCTGAGTCAACAGAGGGAACAACTAGTAGTTCCGAGAATCGCAAAAAGGGCTCTAACATTTTATTATCTGAGCTCCAGGAAGATAGGATAAATCATTATTTTAGTAGGCAAGAAAACTAGCTCACAGTACAGTATATTTAAAACAAAATAAAAATGTTCTAGCAACATCCTACACACTTGAAATACACTGAAAGCCCTAATCTACAATATGACTGTATTTGGAGACAAGGCTTTTATGGAGGTCACTCAATAAGCTCATCAGAGTGGGGCTCTAATTCAATAGGACCAGCGCCCTTAAATAAAAGGAAGAGACACCAGAGATCTCTCTTTGTGCATGCACAGAAGGCCACATAAGGACATAGTGAGAAGGTGGCTATCTATAAGCCAGGGAGAGGCCCCACCAGAAATCAACACCAATGGCTCCTTGATCTTGGACCTCTAGCCTCCAGAACTGTGAGAAAATTAATGTTACTTCAGCTACCCAGTCTGTGGTATCCTGTTATGGCAGCCAGAGCTGACAACTACACATACCTTTATTTAAAAGTATTCAGTACTGGAATTCAATTAAAGAATGACAACACTGAGGACTAAGATCTTTCTCATCTACCCATGATTTATGTTCACCTTGGCCTTCTCAGAGCCTTTGACTGGAGAAAAATGTGCATGGAATGGGGAAGGAGAGACAGAAATTACAGTCAGAGAGTTGGGAAGGGCTAGACCCTGTATAATATGATGCACTAAAACACAACATTTAATAAAACTTTATCCCAAAAAGCAGACATCACATGTAGATCACCTCATGGGTTAGCCACACAGGTATGAAAGTAAACCTAGCCATTACATAAAGACTTTAATTTTTTAATCCCCCAAATCAAAGAAAACTAGGCTTGGAGTTAAAACTCAGTTAATTTAGAAACCAACTGACTAGAATACCTCATTCCCCGAGAATGATGGGTAATGCTGGTATTCCTTGCGTCAGCTTACAAACAGGCACATGAGGATAATAGATACTAGCGGAATTTTTAAAAAATCTGCCAGAACAGATTCCTTAAATGGGAAACTAAAAGATGAAAGTTACTTAGTGCCTCAGTATACATAGGTATCCAATACTGAATCTGTATGATCCTTGATTTCCTAAGCTGTGCAATGGGGATACTAATTTCTTTCACAGGGTTACTTGGAGGATTACATAAAATCACTTCTAAATAAAGTAGTTAGCTCAATGTCTGCCACATAACAGGAGATTAACAAATGTGAGCTTTGGTCAGTGTACATATATATGTGCATTTAAATAAGCTCTGAGGTATAAGTTAGGTATAATAAAATTCATGTTTTTAAGGATGTATATTTTATGATTTACTAACCTAAGTAGTCCTCAAAAGTCGTAAGAAAGAAGAGGGGGGAAGAAAAGTTTACACAGACCAAGGAAGGCCTTGGATCTATGGACTCAGAAGAGAAAAACAAGCCCTGACGGGAGAACTGCAAACTTGGGATCCACAGAGTTCACATACTTCTGTTCTAACATATGACTAAAATGTGTAAAATTATATTCCCTAATAACCTACTAGTACAGTTATGACCATCTGGTGTTCATAACTGAAATTACATTGTTAACAGAGTTAACAGAGGACTCATAGTCAGTATTCAGAAGGAAGGCTGCTGGGTAGCATGCAGCAATTCTGCAGAGCTCAGCCTCGGAATGCACACATCCAGTCAACTGGACTTTAGAAACAGTATCGTTGTCAAAGCATCATTAGGGCTGCTGCTTTTTAATGATAAATCTTTATTATTTCATCTTAGTTATTTGGTTAACCTTAATGTACACAGTGATGTTTTTGCATAGACAATATTTCTAGCCTGTTAATGTTCAAGAAATAGCTTATAAGGCACATAAACGTTTTAGTTCAAATATGAAACATCTATACTCTTAAGACCAAAAAGATATATGTCTAACTTCCCCCAAATCTGCTTAGGCCAGAATACTTTATCAATAGCACAGAGTTATTTTGCTACCAAAAAGCAATAGGTGAGAAAGATGGGTTAGAACAGTATTTTAAAAATTTAAATAACTAATATACCCATGTGGTTCTAACATCAAACAATGTATAAAATAATACACCAAGAAGTCCCACTTCTACTGCTAATGTCACCTACCCAGTTACCAGCCATCCCTAACAGGTGGCTCACATAAGTTTTCTTGAATATACTATTTTTTTATGCATACTGTATATGAGCAAATATATCTGGTCTTATTCCTCATCTCTGCCTTAATACAAAAAAGTGTATCATATACACAGTTCTGCATTTTCCTTTTTACCATTACTATACCTTGGAGATTTTTCTGTATCAGTAGATACACAGAGATCACCTTCGTTTTTTAAGCAGTCTCTTGTCGATGAACATTGAGGTGGTTTCTAGTCTTTTGTTACTACAATGTTGCAATGAATAACCTTGTTTGTGTATACAATGTATAGGATGAAGGCCCAGGGAGGTTTAATGAATTGAAAAGTACAGCTATTTGTAACTCTGATAAACAATGACTCTTAACTTTTTTGAGCTTCTAATGAAAGCTATGGATTTAGCCCCCCAAAATAATTAACAAATACATACAAATTTTACATACTCTAAGTAGACTCTAGGAACCCTCACATGGATTAATCTCTAGAGATATTGAAAGAGCTAATGATTTAGGAAGGGGTCTCAGAACTAAAATTTTAAAATTCTGAGAGTATAAATTTTACCTTGGTTGATTTCAGCTGCAGAAGGCCCCAAGCTCAAGTTCTTCTTCTGCTGAGCATTTTTGGCAAGAAGTGTGTGCTTGTCATCATTCCCTGTATCCATCTCTGAAATGGTGACAGCCAGAATCCGGCAGAAATTAGCAAGCTGCTGCTGATCGAAATTGGATACTAAGGAACTCAGATTGGGGACTTCATCTAGTCGGATCATTTCCTACAGAAGACAAATAAAACAGTCCCCAGACTCAGTTCATTCAAAATTGGATGTGCTCTTCTTTTGCATTCCCTGAAGAATGGGGCTTGGTAGTTAGACCACTTAGGTTCCAATCCCAGCTCTGCAATTTGCAGCTGTGAGACCTTAGGTATAGAAATTTAAGTTAGTTTGTTCACCTGTCAAATGGAACTAACCTACCTCATAAGACTGGTCTGAAGATTTGCTCGTGTGGCTCATTTTGCCTATTAAAAAAAAAATACCACTCAAGTTTTATCAATTATAAACTGCCATTCTTGCTACATATATTTTATTTTTTAAGAAAGAATTTCAAATATAGCTGAAGGCCCATTTCCCCACTCAGCTGCATTCTCTTCTCTCTCTCCAAAAGTAATCATTATTTTGTACTTAATGTTATCATTCATACATATTTTTATATTTATGAATATTTCCATAAAAGTATATGGTATTGTTCTGCATGCAGTGTGAATTTTATCATATACTACCTAACTTTTCAGTTAGTGATACTTAAATACACTGATAGAAGTAGCTCTCATTGATTCATTTTTCACTGTTTTATTCTACAATTTACTCATTCTTTAAATATATGTTCAGGTGAACTACAATTTTTCACTATTAAACAATGTTGCAATGAACATTTTGAGTGACAAGCCTTCTTGCCTTTTTCTTGACTTTATAGAAGTATTACCAAAGTTTAACATTAAGTTTGATGTTTGCTGTAAGTTTTAACAGATATCCTATATGTAATTAAGGAATTTTCCTCCTATTCCTAGCTTTTATCATGAATGAGTATTGAGTGTATTGAGTTTTAAGAAATACTTTTTGTTGTTCGGTTACAGTATTCTGTTAGAGAAATACCCAATCCAGTAGAAGTTAAGTAAATTAGTGGAGGAAGGGTAGCAGGTAGTATCTGAGGAATATAAGGATGCTTCAAAATGAGAAAAGTTCATGTAATTCATGACATCTGCAGATTTTAAGAAAAAAAAAATTTTTTAATTAAAAATCTGTGTATAAGTGGACCTGTACAGTTCAAATCCGTGTTGTTGTTCAAAGGTCAACTATATTTTAATTTTTATTTAATATTTGATATATACAACATGTATTATGAAGGATAACAAAGTAAACAGGTGCATGTGTTTACTATCACATCTCTGTGCCTGCCAAAGGTAACCACTATCCTAAATTTTATTACTGCTTTGCCTTTAAAAAAGTTTTCATGTATATGATTTGCATGCTTAATTTGGAGCTTTACAAAAATGATATACTATATACAGTATTCTGCAACTGACTTCTAGCAATAATTTCTATGATTCAGCTATGCTGTTGCCAATAGAAACAATTCATTCATTTCTACCACCGCATAATATAGGCACACTTCATTGTACTGCACTTCAGATACTGCATTTTTAACAAATTGAAGGCAAGACCCTCCACCAGCAAAAAAGATTATGACTTGTTTTATTATGATACTCGCTTTATGGCACTGGTCTGAAACAGAACCCGCGGTATCTCTGAGGTACGTCTGCATTCCACTGTGTAACTAGAGTACATTTATCCATTCTCCTGTTGATAGATCGTAGACTTGGTTTCAGTTTTTTACTCTGTGTTTCTTGATGCACATGTGCAGTTTTTTTCTGGGGCAGTGGCTTCCAAACCATTCTGATAATGCCCCAAAATAAGAAAATCTCTATAACAGCCCAGTAAATTCATATATGTGAATGTATAAATAGTAGTATAAATACACCTTACATTATATACTTTGATCTTTCCTATTTAGCTAGCAGACTCACTGAATTGATTTCGCAACCTCTTGGCTTCAATTTATTGTTTTCATTTCTAAGAATCACTGTTCTGCGATTGAGTTTCCACATAAGTGTGCCTAGACATAAGTTATAGGTGACCTGAGCCACACTATTGATACCATGGCCCTCAGAGTATACCTAGGCGCTGGGTCACACGGTATGCACATGTTCAAGCAGAAAACAAAAGAAAGGTAAATGTATTCTGCTAATGCAAAAAAATGTCATCAGTTATAGTAGTGCTACCAATGATATATTCTCGCCAAATGTGCTTTCTCACTGTGGTCTTCTATTTATTGACCATCTGTTTCTCTTCCGTGAAATGCTTGTTCATATCACTCCCCATTTTTCTACTGGTCTATCTTTTTCTTGCCAATTTGTAAGAATTCTTGTAAATTCTGAATATCAATCCTTTGCTAGTTGCATGGGTTGCAAACACCTTCCCCCAGTTTGTGGCTTGGGTTCCTTCGTTATGGTGTCTATTCCCCTTTCCAACTGCACCAAGGTACCCATAATGTCTGGCAGAACTCATCACCATTTTTGGCAACACATAAGAAGCAATCCTAGGCTCCTATGCTGATACTGCCAGAGAGTCTGGTGTTTCCACTCTGGGAGCTCCTTCTCACACTGGCTGGAGCACACATTATTGGAAAAATAAGAAAGCCTTTTTATTAAAGAGTACAAAGGATCTGTCTGAGACCTGCACACATTTCCAATGAGTTCCAACAGACAATGGGCCACTTATACACATCTTCTGCCAGGGCAGCGACAAACAGAGCCCAGGGAAAGTGCAACCAAAAGACAAAAATGAAAGCTGGAGGGGTCACCACAATGCATGTGGGCACCCTTTTTCCCAGCAACAGCAAATCTTAAGAGGCTGCTTCTGCCTTCTCAGTAGTAAGAGAAAGAAATCTGCCAAACCTGCTACCAACATGGAGGTATGGGACAAGGACGGGGGAAGTAAGCTCCAGGACCTAAAATCATTACACCAAAAATCTAATATAGGGATTCTCACAGAGGTCTGTTGATATGTTTTTAGGGTCTGTGAGTTCTCAATGATAAATTTTTAATTTAGTGTGTTCATTTCAATCATAGCTTTAAAAAATAAAAGCTATCTGTGTGGATCATCAGCACACAGATATGTGTCTCTTGTGTTGGTGTCAATTAACTTTAATTGATGATGACTAGGGGGGAAAAAAGAGGTGAATTTAGTAAGTGAAAGTCAAACATCACCACCAAGGGAAATATATCCTAATAAATAAAGGTTTCACAGCTGTTGAAACATAAAGAGTGGTAAAAGAATGAAGTCATCACATAGGATACAGCAACAGATATGCTAAAAAGGTCCTGCATTATAATAATTCATGAATTATAATAATTCATGGCAATTTGATTTTGGCAAAATAACATTAACCATCACATTACATTCATGAAGTCAATCTGAACTTCTGAGTTTTATAAATAGTTTTGATTTCAATTGGTATATCTGTTTAGGTTTTATAGTCATATAAGATCCATTAGTATAAGAAGTATAACCTAGTTTTTACTTAAATATATTTAAATAACACAAAAAAATAATTTAACACTAGGAGTATGGAAAAATTTTTGTTTAAAAATAATTCTACTTTAAGTTAGAATTGAATCATCTGAGACACCCTCCCCAACTGGTTACCCACCTGCTAGAGGACATAGCTCACCTTTTTAACACCCAAAATATCTTCAATGAGGGTTGCTGTTTGTAAGAATGTCTTCTTACTTGTCATCAATGTAAAAAGGAAGATCACAAAGTCATTCTTTTCTGCCAAACGCTTTGTAACTCCTTCCGTCTATCACATGGGAGGAGAGAAAAGGCAGAACAGATGATAAATATAAAATATAAGGAGCAAGGTATACCTTCCATTGGAAACACAATCCCATTTTATATCAAGAATTCTTGGCTGAGGTCTTAAATCTCTAAGACTATATACAGAACATTGTGTGCAAACGTATTTTTCTGGGGAGGGGGTTTTTCACAGTAATCATCACAGGTTCTTGACCTAATATCTGCCTAGTATCCAAATCAGGAGCTACAAACTAGTATACAGTAGGCCAAGTTTTATTTGGCCAGCAGTCTTATAAAATTTTGAATGTAAATGTCTTTAAGGCAAGACATGCTTACTCTAGATTAGTTACAATTTACTAAGTCCCCGCTTCAAAACGAGCAACTTAAAAAACATTTCCTGTTTTCTGCCCAATCCCTGGAGGTACTGGTATTTGTAACTCCAAAAGCCAGTGATAGAGTCAATTACATCATATAGCTTTTTTAAAAAAAATAAGAACAATTTCTTACCGGCCTTAGTTGCGAAAATAATTGTGCATTTCCTAAACAATTAGTTTATTTTTATCGTATAGATCTGTCTGTGCCTATTTGTGTCACTAGCTACATGTGGCTATTAAGCACTTGAAATGTGGCTAGTGTGAACTAAGATGTGTTTTAAATATAAAACACGCACTAGATTTTGAAAGGTCAATATAAAAAAAATGCAAATATCTTTACGTTTATTTTTAACTTTAAACTCATTAAAATTAATTTTACCTCTTCCTACTTTTTACTTTCTAAAAAAAAAGTGGCTACAAGGAAATTTAAAGTAACCTAAGTGGCTCGCATTATATTTCTAGTGCACAGTACTGTTACAGATGCTGAGTTGTGTGCTAAAACATATTTCCGTACTTGCATTGGTTGCTTAGAAGCTTAAACACAAATTTGTCCCCTGTCCGTAATACAGATGATTTTATGGTCTACATTTTTATAACAGCCCAATTCCTGGATGTATATTATACTCACCTTGTTTTAGCCTTTTCATTCTTATCTACTTCTAAATTTATGATCTTGATAGATTTTACATACTTCACTCTTATAAAATGCTTGAAATCTTTTTTTTGAATGAGGCAAAAGATAAAAGACAGGTACTGTGTCTTATAAAAACTAACATTTGTATATTGCTTCACAAAGACTTTTACATCTATTATCTCATTTAGTCCTCATAACAATCCTATGATGTTAGTATGATTACTAACTGTACTCTGATTAAAAACAAAAAAAAACAACAAAAAAAAAACCTAAAGCTAGAGGAGGTGAACTAATGAGCACTAAGCCAAGGGCCAGAACTCAAAATCAAGTTCTATCACTAAGTATTATGCTCTTTTCTTTCAATCAAATTGCTTCCTTTATTCACTATTCTCTCTCACTCAGTGGTCAACCTGAGTATCCTGAACAATATATGGGTCGGGCTTCTGGTTCTTGTTTTCTAACAAGGAATAATGAAGGAATAGGCATGATGATGTTAAAAGGAATCTTAAAGATTACAGACACTCTTCCCATGCTTGTATTCCTTTGACAGGTAGCTTATTTGCTTGGACACTTCCAGGGCTTAAGGAGTTCAGTATTTGCTGAAGCCTGGCTCTTAACAATTACAGCTGACCCTTAAACAACACAAGGCTTATGTACACTCAAAAATCCAACTACAACTACCGTCAGTCCTTTGCAGCAGCAGATTCCCAACTGTGAACTGAGAATACAGCCGGCCCACTCATATACAGGTGTTGTTCAAGGGTCAGTCGTACTATGAAACTCTGCCTCCCCATAATCACTATTTGTTGGTTCTGGTTCTCAAGCACACATAAAATAAGCCAATTCCCCTAATGTCTAAAGACAGCTCTCATGTCTACCACCCTCACTCAAATCTTCCCTTCTCAAGCACTGCAGGTGTAGTGAGATAAATGTAGTCCCAAAGGCAGTGGTACTTACACAGACACAGGTATTATACAGGATGCTCAAACAGTCCTTAGACATTTCATCACTTACTGAAAGCAAAAGGGGAGTAACTTGTTATTTTTCTCAATGAAAAGAGAGTGTAACAGCATTAAATCTTTTGAAAATAAAAACTGTTCCTCATAATCCCCTCCAAGATGATTATTTTCCTGTTAGTATATCTCCTTCCAGTCCTTACTTAACAAAGATTTTCATGGTGTTCATCAGAACCTACAAACCAATTTGTAGACTGCTTTTAGTTTGATATAATAGCCAGTTTTTTATTATGCTCCACTGCCTTCATAATTTCAACCTATTGTGGTATCATAATTTAAAATACGACATGTTCCCTTTGTGGCTTGCTTAGGATACATCTCAGGTTTTTGTTTGTTTTAGGGTTTGTTTTTTGTTTTTTGTTTTTGCTATTTAAATAGGTTAAAAATAACTTTACATGTATAGCCTTTTTAGGCTTATGTTAAACTGGTTCCTCAAGATAGATTTCCAAAAGCAGAACTACTAGAATCCAAAGTATAAAAATTTTGATGATTCTTGTTATAAATTTCCACTGTAAGTTCTACTAGCAGCAAGCAAGGACATCATTTTACTACAGTCTCACCTAATAGTTTGTTGTTGTTGTTTATGTTAGGGAAATGGCTTTATTTGCCTGACCTACAAAGTCCAATAAAGAACTAGCTACTTTTCTGTGAGCAGGAACAGGAGAGTAGTACAAAAGGAAACCAAATTTTCATAACCTCCACACTAGGAGATGATAAAACTAAGTATGAACCATGGACAGAGTGTTTTTGTTTGGCATTAATTTTATTTTTAAAAACTGTTTTCACTTATTCCTATGCTGCTATCACCTCTACAAATGCTAGCCTCTCTTGAGATCCCAATGGGCGCCCCTGCCAAGCCAGCTTGACCAGATGGGTTATCTGATATAATTTTGTGATAATGCAGGTATCCTGTATCCCTCATCACTACCTTTCAATCTACTGGGGAATTCTGGTTTGTTTATTTATTTTTATGACTTCAAAGCAGGTTGGAATACCAGACCAGTATATTTCAGTATTTCCACACCTTTAATTTTTTAAGGAAATTGGAATCCACTCATTTATCAAATAACTATTCAGCACCTATTCTAGAGTAGAAATAGAATATACAGTAGTTAGAAAAAAAAGACAAAGTCTCATGCTTCATGGAACTTACAAATATAGCAGGAGAAGGAGAGAATAAATAAGTACATCAACAAGTAATTACAAGATGCTACTTGTTATAAGGCAGAGAACAGAAGAACCAATTTAGACAGAAAGAAAAGCTAAAACGTTAAAGATGAATATGAATCCTCTTAATCACTACTGTACATACAAATTAAGTCTTATATAGTCATGCTGTTCGGGAAAAAAATTTTCTTTTAATTAAAAATATATTTGTGATGTTTGTAGAAGGGTATTCATCAAATGATGAGTGATCTCTGACTTTTAATGCAAGTAAGGTGCACTTACTCTTTTTTTTTAAATTAAATATTGAATACCTAAAAAGAATATTTGTAACATGTTTAAGTTATAAGAAAAATAACAGGATAATACCCATATACCCACTACCCAGCTTAAGAAATAACGCACTACCAAAACACTTTTACTTTTTACCATGTGCACTCCGGTAATGACTGAACTTTTTACAAAAAAGCATATGCCACCTTTATAACAACAACAAAAAAAGTTGTTTTTAAAATAAAACAAGCAATAAAGTGATCTTACCAGGTTACTGATTACTCCCTCAATTAACTATATGTGAGAAATAAGAATTTCCAAAGAAAACATAAAAGCTGGACACAAGGACTATTAAAAAGTACAAAGATGCAATTCATTTAGCCCAGTGGTTTTCACGTTTTTTCTTTTTAAAACTCCAGATCTGTAATTCTATCTAGTATAAAATGAATAAACAGAGCTGCTTATTTGGGGGTGGAAAGAATGTCCTGCAGCTGAATTTAAGGCATGTCCTTGTTGTTAAGAGTTAGGAAGGGAAAAAAGAGAATCTCTTGGAAACCACCATATCAACAGTTTGGGAAATGAAGAAGTGGCTGACAAGTACACTTACTTTTCAGTTTCTGTCCTCGGATAGAGATTGTAGGCCTCATAAGAATTTCTACAAGAAGCTATAAAAAAAAATTGGATAAAACCCTCAGAATTAATTCAAAGCACAACTCAAAAAACAATCTTTGCCATGACAACTCATGGCCCAAATATCTGTCAAAAGATTACAAGACAATCTTGTTCCCAACAAAGGCAGAAGGCAGTGAGGTTCAGGGGAATGAGTACTATACCAAGAGACAGGAAACCTGGGTTCCAGTCCCAGCTCAGCAACCTATTCCCCATGTAAACCTGGACAAGTCAATGCCACTCTATGGCCACAGTTTTCTCATTTAAAAAAAAAAAAAAAGTGCATATTGGATTAAGTATTCTCTGGGATCCAATGAGTCTTTAATCTTTCAAAAGCTGAGAATATTATCACTACTATGATTCTTCTTTTGCTTAAAGAACATTTATGTTCTCTTATAAACGTAAGTTTATAAAAAAAAAAACAAACCCCACCATAAATTGCTAATACTGATTTCTACAGGGGATTGGGGTGATATCCATTCATTTTTCATTTTACATACTTTATATACAACACATAATTTTGCTTAAACTGTTTGCAATAAGCATGCATTTAAAAATGTTGATACAAAGAAGGACAATTTACAATGATAAAAAGGTCAATCTATCAGGAAGATAAAGATGCACTTAACAGAATCTCAAAATAAATGAAGCAAAAGCTGATAGAAATGAAGGAAACAGACAATTCAAAAATAACAGTTGAACATTTCAATACTCCACTTTCAATAATGGACAACTAAGCAATAGCAAAGAAACAGAAGACTTGAACACTATAAACCAACAAGATCTAACAGAGGGAGTTCAGCAAGAAAATGCACCCAACTAAAGCCCATATTTATGAACAGACTGAGAGTCCTAGAGAAGCTGATCTAACTCAAAGCAGGAGAGAAAAAACCCACAAAATCAAGAACCATTGATTCAAAGAAGTCCTAAGATGGGATAAGCATCTGCTATACGAAGCCATGATTTTCACTAAAAATAGACATCAGGCTAGAGACCAACATTATTCTTTTTCCTCCCATAAATACACTGGTTTCTATTAAGTAAATTCCTTGATGAATGATTTCCTTGAGCTGGCTAGTAAGTTAATGGTATAGGGCCACTTGGAATGCTGAGGAAGGGAATACTGATGTATGCAAATGTTTAACATTCAATCTTATGTAGAAAATGGCATCTCTAAGGAAAAAAACTTTTTAAAAATCGAAATATGATACAGCAAAGAGTATAAATTTAAAGTGCACAGCTCCAGTTTTTACAAAGTCAACATCGTTCCTGTACCATAACCACCCAAATCAAGACACAGAATAACCACAAAACACAGAAATCTTCCCTCATGCTCCATCCCAGTGATGGGGGTAAAGAGAGATATCTAAGGGAAAAGGTAGGATCCCAGTACCTCACTCATTACAGCAAAATAAATTTGGAATGGTGCAAAAATTTAAACATATATGATAAAAACTTTAAAATATTAGAAAGAAACTTAGACATAATTTATAATCCAACAGTGGGAAAAACAAGAAACAAAATTCTGAAGCCATAAAGAAAAAGACTGATCCATCTGAAAACCTAAAAAGTAAACCTTTCTACATTTAAAAGTACCATGAACGAAGTCAAACTTCAATTATCCAACCAGGACCTTAAAAAATTAAGAGTATCTACAAATTGCTATCGTCTGAATGTCTGTGTCCTCCCAAGATTCATATGTTAAATCCTAATGCTAATGTGATGGCATTAGGAGGTGGGGGACTTTGGGGGTGATTAGATCATGAGGGCAAAGCTTTCATGAGTAAGATTATACCCTTATAAAAGAGGCTCCGGAGAGATCCCTAGACCCTTCCCATGTGAGGACACAGGAAAAAGGCTGGTAGTCTACGACCTGGAAGAGGGCCTTTATCAGACGCCAAACCTGCCAGTGCCATGGTCCTGGACTTCCCAGCCTCCGGAACTGTGAGAAATAAATTTCTGTTGTTCATAAGCTACCTAGTCTGTAACATTTGTTATCACATTCTGAAAAAACTAAGATAGAAAATCAGTAAGAAAAAAGCCTAATAACAAAACAGAAAATATAAAAGCCACTAACAGACAATTGGCAGAAAAGAAACAACTTATAAACACACATAAAGATATTCAATCTCACTCATAGAAGAATGCAAATTTTAAAAACTATGAAGAGGATACATAAAGTACTCTTAGAACTCAATAAAAAGACAACCCAATTTAAAATATGGGAAAAGATACACATTTTCTCAAGGAGGATATACAAATGACCTGTAAGCACATAAAAAGATGCTGAACACCGTTAGCCAATGCAAATCAAAACCACAATGAGATACCACTTCATACCCACTAGGATGGCTACAATAAAAATGCAGATAATATCAAATATTGATAAGGTTATGGAAAAACTGGAATCCTCATATACTGCTGGTGGGGAAGGTGCTTTGGAAAACAGTCTGATGGTTCCTCAAAGGATTAAACATAAGAGTTACAATATGACCCAGTAAACCTAATTTCTAGGTATACACCCAAAACTAATGAAAATCTATGTCCATACAGAACTTTGTATACAAATGTTAACAGCAGCATTATTTGTAATAGCTGAAAGGTAGAAACAGCCCAAATGTCCACCCAATGAAGAATGGATAAACAAAATGTGATATATCCATACCATGGACTATTATTCAACCATAAAAAGGAACGATACATGCTACAACATGGATGAATCTTGAAAACATTAAGCTAAGTGAAAAGTCAGTAACAAATGCCAACGTATTACATAATTCCATTCATATGAAATGTCCAGAACAGATATATCTATAGAGATAGAAAGTAAAGTAATAGTTGCCCATGACAAGGATGGGAATTGGAAGAGTAGGGGAGTAACAGCGAAAACATATGGAGTTTCTTTTGGGGGTGATAAAAATGTTCTAAAATTGACTGTGGTAATGGTTGCACGTATCTATGGAGACACTGAAAACCACTGAACTGTACACTTTTAAATGGGTAAACTATATAATATGTGAAACATATCTCAAGTTGTTTAAAAAACTATGAAGAAATACCATTTTTCTCATATCTGCTTAGTAAATATTTAAAATACTTACAATGTTTGGTGAAGGAGGCTACTGGGTGCTGGTAATGTTCTATTGTGTACTGAATGGTAGTGACAAAGGTAAACTTATTTTGTGGTACTTATTGGTGTACTTTTCTGGATGCAAGTTATACTTCAATAACAAAGTCCATTAAAGACACACACACAGACACTGTGTTGGTGATGGTATAAGTAAAAAGACACTCTTCTACTTTGTTCCTGGGGATGTAAGTTGCTAAATCTCTTAGGTATGTATACTGACAAGTTTATAAACAATAAAAGACACATATGCTTTGATCCCAAAGGTATATACTTACATGTACACAAAAGTATTTATAAAAACCTTTACTGTAATCCTGTTTGTAATGGAAAAGATGTGAGAAAACTCTTCATCAACTGAGGCCTGGATAAATAAGTTATGGTACAATTACACTGGGGACTAATATAGAGCTGTTTAAAATAATGAGGCAGATTTACATGTACTCATATAAAACTATCCCCAAGTTAGAGAATTACATGGAAAAAAGATGCAAAGCAGTGTACCTATATAGATGATATGCCATCTCTATGTGAGAAAAAATATGGTGCGGGGTGATTTACACACACACACACACACACACACACACAAAGGACACAGATGAAACCAGTGATCACAGCTGCCTCTGAAGAGAGGACATCAGGGAAATGGAGACATACCTTTTGCTTTGTGCCTTAAAAAAAAAAGTGGCTATATTATCAATTTAGATAAATCAATTCTTCTAAAGTAAAAGCTATGCTGTTTCAACACAAGTGAGTGCCACTGAGCTTTTAAAGATTAAAATTCTCAAATGTTTGCTATAAATTCTGGAATGTTTCCTGTCTCCCATTTCAAGAGTTAAATTCTCAAACCATTAAGTAGTAGTAATAATAAACAACTACTTACATCAACACCTCCGAACAAGTCAAAAATATATGTATTTGGATAAGTGGTTTCTTGGGTAAGTTTCCTCTCTTCAGTAACAAATGCCATAGCCTCCATGGAGAGTAGAGGAGAAATTTCCTAGTTTAAAAATATGTATACAGTTATTCAGTTTTCATATTTAACACGAATGAGACACCAAGCATCAGTTTGCATTTCAGTCACAACTTAAATCCCCATGAGCACAAAGATAGCCCCCAATGAACCACACTTCCTGGTATTCAGGCCCTTATAGAATCTTCTCTCACACTGAATCTGGGCTGGTGTGACTCACTTCAACAACAGTATGCGGCAGAAGTGACATTGTGCCAGTTCCGGCCTAAGTCTTAGGAAAGACTGGCAGAGTTGGCTTTTGCCACCTTGGAACTCAATCGCCACGCTGTGAGAAGTCTGACATAGACACCCAGCAAGGCCATGAAGAGAATTGAGGCCAGGACTGAAATCCTTAGCTGACAGTCAGAACCAATCTACTAGCCATGTGAGTGAAGCCATTTTGGACCTCCCAGATGATTCAGTACCCCATCAAACACAACATGAAACAAAAGAACCACTCAATCAACCCAAAGAATTGTTAGAGATAAATGGTAATTATTATTTCGAGCTACTAACTTTTGGGGTAGCTGGTTCTGCAGCAATAGGTAACCAAAACATTGCTCAAATGTCATTTCCTTCAGGACGTCTTCTGCTTTCCTCAGCCAGAAGCAATATGATGCACCTCTGAACCCCCAAAGCAATCTGTAATTCATTTGTGGCATTTAGCACTTTTACTCTGAACCTCTTTACAAACCTATGTTATTTCTTTCCTAGATTAAATGTTCCTTGAAGATAAGACTGGAACAGCCTTTGTAGTTTCCACTGGTCCCATGACATAGGTCCCATAGCAGGTATTTAACACAGACAGTATAGGATAGTGGTTCTCAAATTTGGGGGACCACAGAATCCTTTGTTCATATGGAACAGAGCTAATAGAAAAAAATAATAATCTTATAGAAAAGTTGATATAATAATAAAAGTTGTAATAATGGTAGTAATAGCTAATTTATTTATTGCTTGTTTCTAAGCATGGTTCTAAGAACTTCACGTATTACCTCTTAATCCTCACAACCCTGAGAGATAACAGTAACTTATCCCAATTTTACAGATAAGGAAACTGAGGCAAAAGAAGTTGTCAATGCAAAGAGCTGGTTAAGTGGTACTAGAGCCAGGATTTAAACATAGGAAGTCTGGCTCTGGAGTCCGTGCTTACGGAAGCAAGCAGACTATTTTGGGTGAAATAGGGGAGAGAATAGGAAGAATACAGAACCCTACTCACTATGCTCTCTCCTCAGGAACCTGTAAGGAAAAATGGAACACAACAGTCTGGAGCAAACATTGTTTTCTCAAACACTGGTGAACATCAGAGTCATGTGAAGGGCTTCTTAAAACCCAGACTCTACTGGGTCCCACCTGTAGAGTTTCTGATCCCACAGGTCTGGTGTGGGGCCTGAGAATGTGCATTTATAACAAATTCCCAAATGATGCTGATGCTGCTGGTCTAGGTATCACGCATCAAGAAAAAGTAGAACTTGCTCTTACGGATAACCTGTTATATGCCAGGCACTAGACTTTTATACTTTTTTATATCCACTTAATCCTTAAAGTCATTCAATAAAGTGAGTCTAGTTTTACTGATTTTACAGGCAAAAAGCAAAATTGCAAAGTTTCCCAGGGTCACATAATCAATAAGTGACTGAACTACTTTCTCTGGATCTCATATTTCTCATCTATAAAGTCAGGATGTACTTCCTGCTGGCAACACAGTACAATGGACGCTGGTCTTTGGATAAGACAAATCTGGACTCATCATATAGCAGCCACAAGGCTTTGGGCAGGTTATTGTTGAGTCTTGGTTTTCTCAACTAAAAAAGAAACACAGAAACATTTGGATTGTGCCTGCCCAACATCCTTCTCTCTTCTTCAGGCAATAGCCCCCATTTCATTAAGGGAATGCCCCTCCCCACTTTCCACATGGTCCTGCTGGGACTGCCAACAAGCACCTCAGTCCCAGCCTTGGGAGCAGCCCTAGCCAAAAGTCTCTCAGTCCCCTCACTTCAGTGGCTGGCCCACATTATAGAAATATCACCCTAGATCTCTGATCACGTGGAGGAACAGATGTCGAGATCAGAAATGGATGGCCTAACTCTGCTCAGATCCTGAATTCACACCTGTGCTTTCCAATTATGTGAGACATTGTTTTTTTTTTTGCTAGTCTTAGTGAGTTACTGTCACCTACAATCAAAATATTATAGATTAATTTTTTTTAAAAAATCACCCATCTCATAGTTACTATAAGAATTAAATATGCCTGGCACACAGTAAGTTTCAAATAAGTATTTGCTTGATGAATAAAGAAATGATGGTCACACAGCAAGCACTCATAAATGTTAATTTCCCTCCTTCTACTTCTTTCTCTCCCTTCTTCATATTTCAGAGATTTTGCAGGAATCAAATAATGTATAACTCTTTGCAAAGTGTTTTTAAACAGATGTAAGACACTATAACAATTTCTATCTTAATCAGACTATGAGAAGATCAAGAATGTAAAACATCTCTTCTTAAAGGTGAAGATTAAGCTTATCTGGAGCCTATCATTTTTCAGAATGACTTCTTACGTGATATAATAATCAAAACTTCACCTCTGAAGAACAGTGTATCATTAAGTTTCATTACGACCAAATATAACTTGCATGGGTTTTATCTACAGCTAAAGTTGGTACTCTAAATTCTAATTTGGACTCATCCCAACCAAGCTTAAGTTTAGATATGATTAACTCCAGATCTACTGAATCAGAAACTCTGGGTGTGGGGCCCAGCACTGTGTGTTTTAACAAGCCTTCTATGTGATTCTAATACATACTCAAGTTTGAAAACAACTGCCTTAG